TACTTTGTAGTTTTTTCTTGTTTTTATTGTTCAATGAAAATCGTATGGTTTATTTCCAGTATATTTTTAGTCATGTTTCACTGTTTTCCATTTTTTTTTCTCATGACATTAATAGGAAGACGTTCGATAGTATGTAATAGTTAAAAATTTTCGGTATATTATCAATATCTTTTCGGCATGTTTTCTCATGGCATTAACAGGAAGACGTTCGACGGTATATTATCAGTATATTCTCGGTATATTTTCTCATGACATTAACAGGAATACGTTCGACGGGTATATGTACAGTATATTTGCAGTATATGTTAAAGCAATATATATAAGCGATGAAGATTTCGTGAAATTTCGTACTCTTTGCCCGATTTCCTGAAATTACGCGCTAGGAACATGGAAGGTTGTTCCACTTACCTTGTAACTGATTTTAGGCATGATTATAATTAATATTTATCTTTGGGAGATTCTTATTTATGCTATGTGATTTTAAATTAATTGCAACTTTATCATAGAAGTTGAAATAATTATGTTTATACCTAAAAGACCTTATTTATCTATATTAATGCCTAAAGTCAGTTACCATATCATTCCCACCTCCATCCCCCTTTTTATGGGCATGATTAAGAAAGAGAAAATAACTGACTCGTTTAATTCCTTAATTCGCGCAACTTGAATTCCTTAATTCACGCAGCTGTCAAGTGGTATATATTGGGTTTATGTTAGTATATTTTCAGTATATGTTGCAATGAAAAACATGTTTTCTATCAAAAAATTATGTCTTCCTATTTTTTCGAAAAGAAAGAAACACACGCCGCCGAGCAGAATTTTTTCGAAAATCAGTCGACCGACGGTCTTCATTCAGAATTTTTACGTGATCTCGAGTGTATATCTTAGGTATATTTTATGTATATGTGGGTTCTAAAATCGATTTTGAGAAACGATTGAAACTCGAATGTATATTTAAAGTATATTTTATGTATATGTTGTGTCGCGGATTTGAATTACGTTAATCTCGAGTGTGTATTTTATGCATATTTTATGTATATTCTATGTATATTTTATGTATATGTGTGTTGTACAACTTTGGTATATACCCGCAACGTGTAAATTTTCATATCTGATGGTAACATGTAAATCATGTACAGAATTTTCATACCCGAAACATACATATTGTCATACCGAAACATATACTGAAAATATACTATATATACACACAACATATACCCGCAATATGTACAGAATAGAACTATCTATCAACAAATCAAGCACACCAAGTGTTCGACAATTACCCTCTGAGAAGATTTTCGTCAAAACAGATAGAAAAAATTATATATTTAACATATACTGTACATATACCCATCATATACTGTACATATAACACAATACAACACAACCGTAACCAGGTAAATTCGTCTAAAATTAATAGCAAACTACGTGGAGATATGGCTTGATTTCATGATCCCCAAGCCATTTCCGAAGCTCGAAATCGCAAGACCAATCGATTTTCAATCGTACAAGAAAACAAAAAATCCAAAAAATCGTAACCGGGTAAATTTGTATGAGATAGCCTCCGAGCAGCCCATCGCGAACACTTTTCTCCCGTTGACGAGACCACCGGCCGATTTTCAGCACATCGCGAACACTTTTCAGCCTCTTCGTCTTCTTCTTCTTCTTCGCCTTCTCCACGGCCGATTTTCAGATCGCCTTCTCCACGACCGATTTTTGGATCGAGCCAGTTTGGTCCTTCATCCTGGTGATTGTTTCGCTTATCATCAAGTCGTTGGTCGCCATCTTTCACCGGTTGGCTCGAGATGGTTTAGTCCTCTCATCTATGTCGTTTGTCGCCGACTTCCATCGATCAGGAAAAAAAACAAAGAGAGGGAGAGAAAAGAAGGAGAAGAGGAGATAGGGGGAGAGATAAAAAGTGTCGAGGTGTGAAAGAAAAAAATCTTACCAATTAATTATTTGGAATGTGATAAGGTTTTCCCCTAAATTACGCCTTATATTGATTGCATCAGATTTGAACTCTATGTGGTATTTCTGCAAATAAAATTATTAGATTATGTTAATATGCTAATATTTACCATGTTGTTATATTTATGTAATAAAAAATGAAACTAATCGTACCGTGTGCAATTTCCTCTTTATCTTTTAGGTATATACACAATTTAATTGGTATGGATAGTAATATTGCAATTATCTAAAAACTAGTAAGTATACTTGAAAATTTCCCAAAAAAATATGGATTAATCTCGTGGGCCCGGCCCAATTAAATGAATCTCGTGGGTGCGGCCGAATTAAATGAGCTTTCTGTACTCCACAAACGTATCCCAGACGCGCCGATGGTTCTTTTGCTTTAACTCGTTCCTATTCCTATTCCTATTCCTACAGTTATCAAAGCCTACCCATTTATTTATAATTTATAATTTGATTAATCCCTAATCGTTTTTATGGAAACTATCTTGTCCGCTCCTTTTCAACTCTTCATCAGGACAATTTGGACGTGTCAGCAAATCCTATACCTTAATAATATAGGAGACAGTATTAAAGACAATTATAAATTAGTCAAGAGTCTCACAACAAACATCCAGTTGATCGTGCGCCCGAAGTTAATTTCCGATTTTCCGGTAAGTTCTCTTTACAGTTTCTCGTTTGTTTTCCTATTTTCATTTTCTCGTTTTCGTTTTCCTATTTTCATTTTCTCGTGTTTTTTGATAAAATGAGGAGGTTGGTTGTTAGTAAGAATTGTCGTGTTCGTCGTCCGAATCCCGATAAATATAAGTTGAAGCTTCAAAAGAAATTTTGTTTTGGACCGTCATTTTTACGTTTTCGTCTACGTGTTCGTCTTTCTTTTGGTCTGCGGGTTTTTGATTATCCAATCCCTAGTCGGATAGTATTGTATATATTGATAGGCCTTTTGATAATGAATAGTTTGAGGGACCTACTCAAGTTTTGTCTCGTCTTCTTCAGATAGGAGATCAGTGCGGAAATTTTATTTCTACTAGTTAACTAGGATTTTTTTTCTTTTTTTTTTCTTTTTTGAAAAATGAAAAAACGAAAAAAAAATAGAAAATTTGAAAAATCCAAAAAAAAAAAAAATTGAAAAATGGAAAAACCCAAAAAAAATTGAAAAATGAAAAACCCAAACAAAATTTGAAAAATGAAAAACCCAAAAATGAACTAAAAGCTTGTGTGAGTAGAATCTGAACCTGCTTATTAGAAGTTCACAAAGAATGGCCTAACATATCGAAATACCTACCGCCGGGTTTAGAGTGCGAGCTACTGACTGGGTTACATCTGACAAGTGGTCTAGAGGCCTTTGGCAGAAAAAGCTAGCGGGCCCGAATGAGGGAAAGCAAGCCCATGAGTTGAGCTATCATTGAATAATATTAATAAAAAATTACTGTGAGGCAAAAAAGCTAACACCAGAGGGTTAAAACGAGTGCAGCTCTGGGGTTAAAAGATTCATGAGTTGGGGGCCTTTGACAGGAAAAGCTACCTGGCCCGAGCGCGTGAAAGCTGCCCGTGGGTGGTTTGGTCCTGTGTATGATAATTGGCGGGAGAGGAGGAAACTCTAGCGGCTAACACGGAAAGGTAAATACCATAAAACAAGTACCGTGATTTGTGGGGAAGAGATGGCTGGAATTGGATTT